CAGTCCGGTTCGTCAAGTTTACAATATTTTGCCAAAAATGATCTTAAATGGAGGTTATAGATTTTTAACTGGTACATTGAACTGGGCTTATTCTCTGTTCCGTGGTTTTTCTTCTTCGGCTGGGAGGGTTCTCCTTCTTGCAACTTCCTTCCTTTAGGCCCTTTGGTCTTTTGAGAGTGACGAGCTAAAAAGGAATTAAGAGATAAAAATGTGCTCATCAATCAATGCAAATGTCTTTTTTTTTAAATCAGTGGCTAATTAGGTCGCCACTGCACTGGTGCACTGCACTGGAACTTTTTTGTGAAAAATACAATATCTATCTAAAGCATAAATCAAGTTTTTAGTTACCAAGCACTCTCCTTCAGCAAAAAAAATAGAGGTAGGTTCTTTTTACTTTAACAGGTTAAATGGAATTACGTAACAAGATACTATCAATAATTTTTAACAAAATTATCTGTTAATAAATTAATAACAAGGTGGCTTTACTTGGTGAAAATCCATTCAACACAAATTAAATTAGAACAAAAAATAAGTTGTTGAAAGTGTCCTCCAAATTGAAGGATACACGCTTCAGCCTTTTTCCTCATATTGCCTCTCACTTTTTGAAGTATACCTCCAGTGCTCCACATTCTGTTCTTAATTCTAGGAATATTGCCAAATCATGTTCTAAAAACCGGCCATAATTATAGTCATTTAACAAAATAACTAAGAACTAAAAGTTCAGATTTTCACGAAATTATATATTTTGACATGACAATTGTTTCGACACCACCGTGTCTTTATCAAATCTTCGGGTGAATGACTTTGGAGGAAAAGGTGTTTTTCTGGATGCCAAAATAACCACAAAAAAAGTCAAAAATTAAAAAAAATACTTCACGTTTTTTATTGCTCCCATTTTAAAGAGCCTAATTGCGGGTCCAGGCCTCTACTTCACTCCCAAGTTTGAAGTCGGTAGCTGCAAATTTGGAGTACTTATTATGTTTTTTAATATTGCACGGAATATCCCGAACACCCTGTACAATACTTAAAAACCGTAAGTACAAAAGTTTAAGCTATATCGTTATGTAAAAGAAACGGACATCTAAAACACCCTGTTTATTTTTGAAAAATTGTCAAGAATAAAAGTTTATGGAGTCATTTCCTCTGCGTCTTCTGGTTCAAGAATTTTTTCAGTCATGTAAACGGTTTCTGAAAAATGGTCTTTTTTGTAGATCCTTGCATACGCGATTTTTAATTTTTTAAAAATACTTCTCCACCTTCCAGCCCCCCCATTTGCAATAGGTTCTGTCATGGGGTAAAACTGCATAGACGTGCTAAATATGAAGTCGATTGCTTCAAATTTCGGACACTTTTCGTGTTTAGTAGTAAAAAATAAATAAAATCAAACAAAAATAAAACAGAATGAAATAGATAGATAAAGACGCAACCCTATTATGACAAATATTGCACCCTGGGAGCAGTCAAGTTGGTACGGAAAGCGATTTGCTAGTGCGGCAGACCTAGTAAGAAAAGAACTCTGCATATAGTTAGTACGATGGAACTCTACCTGGAAGGAGTGGTTTATTCTGGTCTGCCGGGGGGGGGGGGGGGGGCGAAGCCCAAACTTACATAACAGCTCAGGTCCACGAGTAGTTGTAATCGACGTCATCAAGTCCTGGGTGCTCCTTAAATACTATATACCGCAGGAACCTATGCTGCGCTCTTTCTATAGCGTGTAGGTGACCACATACAGGAACAATAATCCAGGTGTTAACGCACGAGGGAGCAGAACAGTAATCTGAGAGATGGAATACCCTGGAAGTCCACTGTACAACGCTTGATAAAGCCCAAAATCTGAAGCGATTTAGACACACGGTAGCCCTTTTATGTAATACGTATAATGTGTGGTGTTTCTGAAGTTCATTAGTTAGATCATTTAGTTCCATTGCATTAAAATCGCGGTAGGTGATCTAAATCGGATTGGAGTTTTATAATCATCAGCATTTGGGACTTCCATATAGAATTTTAGGTCGTCAGCAAATAACAGGAAAAATACATCATGAAATCATGAGGCAATATCATTCACATAGACATTGAAGAGTAGGGGTCCCAGGTGTGATCCTGTAAGGTACTTTAATTTCGGTGGATTGGAAGCTCTGGACGCGCGCAATCTGCACTCTTTCACGATATTAACCATTCCAGAAGCTTTTCCTGAGTTCCAATGTTTCTCAATTTTTTTTTATTGATTTGATGATTTATTCTATCAAAGGCCTTCGAAAAGTCTGTGTAAATCGCATGAACCTGAGACCCCTCTTTCATTAATTCCAGCAGAAAATCTGTACACGTGGGGGAGAAATCCAAATTGTTGGTCGATAAAACAACCTTTCGAAGACTTTAGGAATACAGAGCTGAACAAATGAGAATTTACATGTATTGATTCATATAACACTTAATTAATAATATCCTCAATTTTAGTGCAAAAAACGACACTAGGTTGATGCGCAATATGGCGATATTGATATTCACACAGCTGCGTCATTTCAAGAGAACTCGTATTTAGTCGGCATCGCCCCCAGACACCTCCCATACTAATTAGTAATAACGAGCCATACGAAAACAAGTTTTAATATGCATTCAAGGTTTTGCGAAAAGATTCCGAACAGGATATTAATTCTGTTATTGGACGTGTTCGTCTATACGACGAACCGATAAGTTATTCGGCGAGTATCTCGGATTTAGATGTAAACTAAAATAAAATCTTTTACTACGTCAACATTAAGAACAAGATTGCTTTCGAAAAATCGTAGGTGAGTGGGACAAGTTCGTAGCAAATAGCGCGAATCACCTTTTTATTTTAAAAAGAAGGCGCTTCGCGGATTCTTGTCCTAGATGGGCGCATTGTTTTTTTAGCGTGCTCCTGCGGACCACTATGGAACTTTCGCAAAATCGAATTTGATTATGAATACACTCTGTCAAAGTATCCTTCACATCTAGTCGAGCTTCAAAGTTACGGCACACTTCGGTAAATATTAAAATTTGTACTGGTAATTACAATTTAAAATTAGATTTTTTCAAATATATCTGTATTATAGACGAAACCTTAAACTCTCTCTCTCTCTCGACACAGTTTACGATACTGTTCATATCAAACAACGTACCCTGTATATAATTCCAACAATGTTCGCAATGCGATAAAATTAGAACTCGACCTGACACTTGAGCAACGCAGTGGTCATTCCATCAGCTAGTGAGTGAGAAACGGACTTTAGGAAAAACGAATAATGGTAGTCCAAGTTATAACAATAGTCTTGGACAGGAAAAAAGGGTAAGTATTGGAAAAGTTAATATAAATCGCAAAATATTACGTAGACTGTTTAAGGCTCGATTGTGAATTAGCATTTAAGAACATTAACGGTTCTAATTTGAACAAGCATGTATTAGCGAATACAATAAACTCTCAATTAATAGATAACAACAAACACAAAGAAATTTCTCAAATGTCACTAGTAAAAACTATCAAAAACAAAGCTTCTGAAAATAACATAATATTTACACGGGCAGATAAAGGGAAGACAGTCATAGCTATCGATCTCCCAGAATATATTTCAAAAAGCAACCATTTTGTTAAACCAGAACTTTTCCAATGTATCAAACACGATCCTACCGAGTTATATCAAAGAACAAATATGAATCCACAGCCGCCTAAATTATATTTTTTAGTTAAAATACATAAACAAGATATGGTCATTAGACCAGTCGTGTCTTATGTAACAGCTCCAGCAGTTAAACTTGCAACAAAATTCGTGAATATTTTAAAGTTCCACACAGACTTTAAACCAAAATGAAAGATATCGAAATTCCTTCTAAGGCAACACCATTCTCTTTTGTTGTACAAAACTTATTTCCCAGTATTCCATACATAACATACATACATATCGGCTCAAATCACCCTTATACACACAAAATGGCTGCATTTCACTCTTTTATACTTCTTAATACGCCACTCTCCACAGAAAATTACAACAAAGAACTTAATATCATTAAACAAATTGCACTGAACAACGGCTACAATCCGTCCATTATAGATAAAATTATAAATAAAAACCAAATACAGACAACAGTAAACTCTATTTATCCGAAACCTAATACAAAACACGAACAATTTCAAACATACATAGGAGAACCTAGTGAAAAAGTTTCAAAACATTTGTCCAAATATGGTTTAAAAGTAGCTTTCAGAACTAACAACACAATAGGAAAATATTTAAAAAACAATAAATCGAAATGTCCAAAATCCCAAAAATCAGGTGTCTACGACAATTTTGATATTTTACATACAGCCACAAAAAGTAGAAAATTAAATTTATTGAAAGTAGGAGATTAACAAAATGAGACAGTCAAATGTATTGCTTAACGATCAATTAGATTTAAATACCTGTCCTTTATTGAACTTAAATTCTCACAACAACATTAATTAAGGCTTTATGGTCATTTTTCGGTATATATAGTAACAGGTAGTTTGTAAATATTACATTTGATAAAGACACGGTGTTGTCGAAACAATTGTCATGTCCAAATATATAATTTGGTGAAAATCTGAACTTTTAGTCCTTACTTATTTTCATAAATGAATTTTCATCAAGTAAAAGCCACCTCAGTTCAATACTTACTTGTTTTTACGATACGTAAAAAAAGTATTTAGTATTCATATCGTATAATTTCTTTATCTTAGGAATTTTTTCAACGTATTTAAAAAAAAAAGTTTACTAATTTTTTATGGGAAAATTGAGTTTTGGAGTAGGCAAAGTTAATGACGGGGTCGGTTGTAAAAGCAATAGATAGATTCATTTATTGACTACGTTTCGTACAAAAGGGACGTACAATTGTAGCAAGTCAGAAGTGATATTCAAGTGTAATAAAATCAAATTAATAAATAACATAAAAACACACATCTAATACAAACAAAATTAGACAGTACTATACAGTTTTATAGCGCATCGATACCAGTGACAGTGTCAATGTATGCTCGCAGGGAGTAAAAACAATGACGTTGTAGGAATTCTTTAATAGTATGTTTAAATTTTCTATTGCTCATCTTTTTCACGGTACCTGGCAAAACATTATACAATTTCAGGTTCAATGAGTTCTTCTCAGACTTCCTCAGTCTAAACCTAGGCCGTCTAAGGAGATCCCCCGAACGAGTTGAATAGGCATGGCAATCGGAATTAGCGCTAAAGTTTCCTTTCGTTCTTTGTATCTCTAATAACTGGTAGTAGATATAGATGCAAGGAAGGGGCATCACTTTGAATTTTTTAAAATAAGGTTGACAATGGTCCCTATATCCTATATTAGCAACGACTCGAATGGCCCTTTTCTGCATTCTGAAAATCTCCACAGCAGCTGAGGCATCACCCCACAGCACCTTGCCATAGCATAAGTGTGAATGCAACAAAGAAAAATACACCATAAGCAGAGTCCTTGTTCCTATCACGCCTCTCAGTCGTCGAAGAACGAATATGTTGCTGGACAATCTATTTTTCAGGTCTGAGATATGTTGTTTCCAATTTAGACTATCATCGATCCTAATGCCAAGCAACTTGACGGACTGTCCACTATTTACCAAGCAATATAAATCTGGTCGAAGTATAACGGGTTCAAATGTTTCATTATTTACCTGGATTCATGCCTAGGTCTCTACCTTTCCAATCCAATAATGAAAAAAGCAAAATTGTTCGAAATGAATAAATAAAAATGGCAAACGCGACGCCTCTGGCTACTCCCCCTATGCACTTAATTATATCTAGAACTTGCTACAATAGCGCTACACCGACAAAAAAAAACCGTTTATTTTAACAATTTAATCTCGGATTTCTTGCACACGGCGGACGCCTGTGCCGCTCATCAGTTTCGTTTTCCTTCGTGGGGTCATGCACGCACACACGGCGACGGCAAATCGTAAAACGTAACACAAGAGAGGCCGTCGACCAAGGTCTTTACCTGGCCACCAACCAACGTTGCCCGGGTACCATCCGCAACGAAATATGGTCAGCCGTCGCGTTCTAACCATCGGTGAAATGTTCGACGTGAAAATCGCGATGTTGGCGTGAATTTCTCTCCGTGACGACGAATTTTGCCCGTTCTTATGTCTCCTTGACCGCAGCACGAGTCATAAAACAGGTGAGCCCGTCGCAGACAGATGAAGCGCGTTATCTGTGCGGTTTTCTAACGATTAACCTCTTTTGTTTACGGTTGTTTGCGGGGGCGCCATCTCGCGCGCCGGCCGCAAACTACGCACTCGCCGTGAGCCGCCATATTTGTATATGTTACGGTAAAAGTGGGTATTGCGGCAAATGTAAACGTTTTCCGGTATGGTTTGTTCATAGATATAAGAAGTTGACCAATTGCTTTTGAATGGGATTATCCAAGGGTGGTCGTTAACGTACAATGCTACAAGATTATTACCTAAAGTATCGGAATTTAAATACAGGTAAAATTGTGGTCCGTAATAGAAAATAATTTTATACCTACCTGTGTTTAATATTCTTTGGTTTGGTATACTACTTAGTTTAAGTATATTAGTAATCATTCTTATTTCGTGTGTAATGCAGCGTGTGTTGAATCGTGTGCAAATTATGCAAAATATGTGCGAGTCTAGTGTATCTCAGGAGATGCTCCCGCCCAAATGTAGAAAACACTATTCTATTGAGACTAAGGAAGTTACAAACAATGTTTATTTGACTCACATTTAACGTGGTGCCAGTAAGCAAGCATTTTTAGAAGAAACAGCCACATTGACGAAAATTTCAACATCAACTGGTTAGAATAAAGGTCACTTTCTTAAGAAATTCCTATTCGAATTTTCATAGTTTAGGCAGAAATTGAGGTTATGTGTTTTGTTTTTCATATTTTGCTTGCCCCATATAAAATTGTGTTGTGACGCTACTGATCCAGGTATCGCAACGAAAATTTAACCACAGACTAGATAAATAGATGGTTTATTGGCTACTTTACAATATCATTGTTTGTAGCAAGTCATACAAAGAACAAAAATAAATAAATTGAGTATATGCAAGTAGATACTAAAATAAAATTGTATATAACGTCATAATATACTAAATCTAGATATACAATAAAACCTAACAGGTCAACAAATAAAAAATAAATTTATATGTATATAGCACAGAACAATCATTAACAGCAACACGTCATTACCGATGTTTTCTTAAAAAAATTCACCAACGCTATAATAGCCCTTACTTAAAAGAAAACTTGTAATTTTATATTTAAAAGTTTAAAAGATTGTGGCAATGCTTTATAAAGTTTTATATAAGGAGAGTTTTGTTTTGATTTCTGCAACCTGTATCTCGGAAGCACGAGATTATTTGCACTCCGGGTGTCATACCTATGAGAATCAGAACCCTTCGGCAAACTGTCGGTCTTGAAGTGTATCTCTGTGAAATATAAATATACATGGCTTACAGTGTTGGTTAAAATTTGAGTTTCTAATTATCCGTAGTGCCTTTTATTACATCCTAAATATTTTAATGGCATAAGAGGAGTTACCCCACAGTATGGTGGCATAGTTTAGACCTGAGTGAAATAAACCAAAGTAAAGTAAAGTAGACCAAAGCAACTAAGGAGATGATGCACTGCTCAATCAGTGTGACAGATGCGCCTCAGTTGATATAGGGTGTCCCAAATTGGTGGTGCCGTTTTGGCGAATTCAATTAACAAAATCTCAACATTTTCAAATGTAACACACTATATTTTTATTCAGATATCAATTCTAGGACAAAAAATTAGGTAATTTGGATAAACTTATATTTAAATGTTACTTACATTTTGAGATATTCGAGGTCTAATATAACACCCCAATAAAATCTTGTTGAATTTAAAGCTGCAAACATTAGCTCACTTGTTGGCAGTATTAGGTATTTTTTAAATAGCAAAGACTGATAGTGTCAAAGATATAATACTCCAGATATACGAATCAAACCTATTCCTAGCAATACAGGGTGTCCATTAAGACGTAGAAATTGTGAAAAAAAAACGACTCTGACAGATTTAATTAAACTTCAGAATTCGTATTTAAAGAAACAGTTAAAAAACTATAACTTATTTAAAATACAAATAAAATATATACTCACAAAAAACTTGACAACTATGAACTTTTTAAATGGAAATATAAAAAACAATTTTGATATTTATTCGTTGTTTTGATGCCAGATGAAACGAGCACTTTAAAACCAACTAAACTAAACTTTATGGACCGAATTAACGGACCCTTTTTAGTTAACTTTTTTTTTATAGATTTATTTATTCAAATTTGTTACCTTGTTTAGTTGTTTAGTTAGCCTATAAACTCCAAAAAAAAAAATATCTAAAATGTGATCTGCGAAAAATGAACTGGTCGTATCTTCCTACGCGCTGAACAGAATCTTTTTTTGATTGGCCGTTTGGAATTTTCTGCAGTCGTCGTTAGAGCCGAATGATACTCCGCTGGAATAAATAATTTCAATGCTTCCCGGATGGATGGATATAGATTTCGATTAAGCCGATTGAAATAACCCCGATTTCGGAGATAGTAATTATACCTGGATTACACGCTAAAATCCCATCGCGATGTTGGATTTTTTTTTAAATGCCCTTTGAAATGATAAAATCGCTAACTGAACCGTAACGTTTTATTTTTTGTCCATTTCGTGCTCTTATCTCTGTCTATTTATCTGTCTACATTATATAGTAGAGATTAGAATCCTAAATGACATTTTTGATGTATTGTCACCTTTACACGAAGTAAGAATCAAGACAAAAACACTTCTTGGTTAACGTTTCCGGTGGAAAAAATGATTCCGTGGAAACATAAGGCTTTCAGTAAGTTAAAAAAAACTAAGAGTGGCGGAAACAAATAAAAAAACTATACCAATATAGCCATTCACGTTGAAAAAATATTAAATCGCACACTGGAATTTAAACAATTCCAAGACAATTTGGAAAAAATTTTTATATATACACAGAGATAGTAATTATACCTGGATCACACGCTAAAATCCCATCGCCATGGTGGATTTTTTTTAAATGCCCTTTGAAATACCAATATCTACCGGAACATTTTATTTTTGGCCCACTTCGTGCTCTTATCTCTGTCTATTTATCTGTCTACATTTATCGCAGATGTTAGAATCCTAAATGACATTTTGATTCACATTTTTGATGTATTGTCGCCTTTAAATCAAGTAAGAATCAAGACTTCTTGGCAAAGGTTTTCGATGGAAAAAATGATGCCGTTGGAAAATTGAACTGAGGTGGCTTTTACTTGATGAAAATCAAAATAAATAAGAACTAAAAGTTCAGATTTTCACGAAATTATGTATTATGACAAGACAATTGTTTCGACAACACCGTGTCTTTATCAAATGTAATATCTACAAACTACCTGCTACTATATATACCGAAAAATGACCATAAAACTTTAATTAATGTTGTTGCGAGAATTTAATTTCAATAAAGGAGAGGTATTTAAATCTAATTGATCGTTAAGCAATACATTTGAATGTCTCATTTTGTTAATCTCCATGGCTTTCAATAGATTTAATTTTCTACTTTTTGTGGCTGTATGTAAAATATCAAAATTGTCGTCAAAAATGTGTTTTTTGTGTTTAAGTGTGTAGCATAATTAGAATCTAGACTATTGTTTTTAAACGCTCTTATATGTTCGTTAATGCGTTTCTTGAAGGATCTACCTGTTTGTCCGATATAAATTTTAGGACAATATCCACATTTCAACCTGTAGACACCTGATTTTTGGGATTTTGGACATTTCAATTTATTGTTTTTTAAATATTTTCCTATTGTGTTGTTAGTTCTGAAAGCTATTTTTAAACCACATATTGACAAATGTTTTGAAACTTTTTCGCTAGGTTCTCCTATGTATGTAATTGTTTTAAATTGTTCGTGTTCTGTATTTGGTTTCGGATAAATAGAGTTTAATGTTGTCTGTATTTGTTTTTTATTTATAATTTTATCTATAATGAACTGATTGTAGCCATTGTTCAGTGTTATTTGTTTAATGATATTAAGTTCTTTGTTGTAATTTTATGTTGAGAGTGGCGTATTAAGAAGGGTGATTTGAGCTGTTATGTATGACTGTGTCCGTATGTGAAGGTTTATGATATATTGAAAAATCTAATTTGTTTTGCACTTTCGTAATAGTTAAGTCTAAAAAATTAATAGAGTTATCCTGTTCAACCTCGATAGTGAATTTTATACGATTATGTATTGAGTTAATGTAATTTAAAAAAGAATTCAATTGTCTGTGCGTTCCAACAAAGCAAGCAAAGGCATCGTCCACATATCTATACCACCATAAAAAAACTTTTACTTAAAGGATGTTCTAGTATAATAATAGTCTAGATTCTAATTATGCTACACACTTAAACACAGAAAAACACATTTTTTACGACAATTTTGATATATTACACACAGCCACAAAAAGTAGAAAATTAAATTTATTAGAAGCCATGGAGATTAACAAAATGAGACATTCAAATGGATTGCTTAACGATCCATTAGATTTAAATACCTCTCCTTTATTGAGCTTAAATTCTGGCAACAACATTAATTAAGGTTTTGTGGTCATTTTTCGGTATATAGAGTAGCAGGTAGTTTGTACATATTACATTTGATAAAGACACGGTGCTGTCGAAATAATTGTCATGTCAAAATATATAATTTCGTGAAAATCTGAACTTTTAGTTCTTATTTATTTTGATGCCGTTGAAAAATTATGCTTTCAGTAAATTAAAAAAAACTAAGAGTGGCGCAAACAAACAAAAAACCATATGAAAAAAATATTAAATCGCACACAGGAATGTTTTCACATAATTAGGAATAACGTTATGGTATGTACAACGTAACAAAAATATCAGTGTACAAAGTAACCTCTTATTACAGCCGAATTCACGAACAAACGTCGGGAACAGCTATGATCCATTATTACACCGTACATCTAACCAAAACTAAAGCACTTGCATGTAATAATCCTTCTACCAAAGAAAAATTAGCAAACCCAACAATCTTGACCGCGACTCAGGTCTTTACCTGCCACCAAATGGGAATCAGTGGAAGTTTCTCTGAAAAATTAGCAAGCCACATTTGATTCAAGGTCAGGAATTAAA